TTAAAAGAGAAGACATTCCTCATAGGAAGCTGTGCACACGTTGTCTGTACCTAATGATCACCTACTGACCACACTGATAGCAATCATGAGTTTTTAAGGTATAAATACTCCTCGCAAAATGCAAGACGGTATGCAACAAAAAACCTTTGCTACTAATTATACTCAGTGTTTTCTTCTTCCTCTCTCTCAAAAAACTGACTTAATCGTCGGAGGGGATATGCCGGAAAACACTCCGGCGCTCTTCTAACTTGTCTTTCTTTGTTCCAGGAACCTTCCTCAACCTTACTGGATCGTTCCGTTGATCCACGAGGGTCTCCCATTACCGTTCTAGGTTACCACCGGACCTCACAGGCTGTTCCAAGCAGCAGGGTTGACCACTCGACTGACTCATTTGAGTTCACCAAGGGAGAGATCTGTTCTCATGTTTATATTGTGTAAGATCCAGCACGCACGTCTTGTTTTTTGCTTCTGGCATTAGGGACTTCTAGGTGTACAAGTTGCCAACTTGGTAGACATTAATATGACATCCTTTAAATTGGTTTGACCTCTAATTTAAATGCCGATAATAAGCTTTTGATACATCCCAAACCAATTTTGTTTGCTATTTAATGTAGGAAAATAGTTCTGACAACGATAGCCCAATAATTCTATGGACTACCAAATGTTTTTTTTTTTGGATGACTTCTTACCAATTAGAGAAGACCCAAAAAAAGAAAAAGAAAATAGGAAGAAAGAACGTTATTATATGCAAATATGGACCGAACATAATTTTCAAAATCTGTCATGGAATGAAAGGATTCTAGAAATTACTAATTTGAGCTTCCACGTTCGAGTCACACGAATTTGCCTCGATTTATGCAATGGATGTAATTTGTGAGTGATTACAAATATTTGGAGTTTGTGTTTTTCTCATGAGTTGAAGAGACATGTGATTTGGACAACACTCTATTGTCTAAAAACAAAAAACACGATTATTAGAAATATTTAGGAGATTTAAAACTGTTTTATAAAGTTCACCAGATATTCATTTGACTAAAACAAATACTTCTATTATGCCAACACTTTTGTTTCGTTTTGTTTTTTTTTTTTGGAGAACAATACTGTAGATTTGATCTACAAATCTATTTATATTTAGATAGCAAAGTGGTTATTCCAAGGGTGAATTATACTTTGCACTCTGAAAAATTTAAGAATTCTCACTTGGTACTCTCAAAGATAAAATTTTTTATACTACACCCTTAATATATCAAAAGTACTGTAATATAGCCCTTCTGTTATCTTCATTTATTTTTTCTGTCAAAAAATACCCAATTGACACTAACGAAAAAAATAACAGAATCTAACTGAAGGGTCACATTACAACACTTTTTATACATTGAGGATATGATGTGAAACATTTTATTTTTGAAGGTATAAAGTCAAAATTCTTAAATCTTTTAAAGTGCAAAATATAATTCGCCCTTGGAATATTGCATGACTTCTCACCGGCCCAATAGAAAGGCCACTTAAGCAATTGTTTAGGTCCCAAAAAAAAAAAAAGAGGGCACCCAAATAATAAGTATAGTCTTTAATTGTAATTTAAATTAGCCCAAAAATTTTGGTTTAAAGGCCCCAATCTAATGAAAATTCTTACAAGGCCTATATTTTGGTTTAAGCAACTACTTAGGGCCAAAAAAAAAGGTTTTTTGGTTGTGGATACACTTTTTCAGATTTATTTAAAAAAAAGTGTATGGATAAGTTGTTTACTTTATTAAGTTTAATTTTCATAAAATATATTGTGGCTAAGTACAAAATTCAAATGAAATTAATTTTTTTTTACCTAAATACCCTCCTTTAAATTATGTATTCTTGATTGACAATTATATATCTAATCAAATATATAAAGATTTCATTAAATTCTTTCACTATCTCTTCCCTATTTTCTCTCAATCTATCTCTCTCTCCCTCTCCGTCTCCCTGTTACTTTCCCCATCTCTCCCTTATTTTCTCTTTCTATCATTGATAATTTATTTTTTTTCAAATTTGTAGAAATTTGATTTATTTTTTCATCTCTCTCCCCTTATTTTCTCTAACCATTTCTCTTTCTTCCTATTTGTTGTTTCTCTCTCTATTTATATCAACATTGCAACAACAAAATTATACTAATTAGTTACACAATCAGTTACAATTGTCTTATAATATACAAAATAGTTACTCATCCGTTCTAATAAATCAAACAATTACACTAAATAATTACACAAAATTATGATACCAACCAATTTGTCATTTAGTTCTTTACAAAAACATGGTAAAGTCTTTTATGTAATGATAAACCCAATTTGGTGTACATAATTAATGTAATCATGTTGTGATACTAAATTTGTGACTGAATGATAAATTGAGTTATAATTTCATATAATTGTTTAGTGTAACTGTTTGATATATTAGAACGCATGAGTAACTATTTAATATATTATAGGGTAATTATAATTAATTGGTGTAAATGATTAGTATAATTGTGTTGTTGTAACGTTGATATAAGGAGAGAGAGAATAAGGAAATAAGGAGAGAGAGTGTAAGAGACAAAAAAAATAGGGGAGAGAGATGAAAATTTAAATCAAATCTTTACATATTTAAAAATAAATAAATTATCAATGTAAGAGAAAGAGAAAGAGAAAGAGAGAAACATATAGAGAGAAAAATAGGGAAGAGAGAGTGAGAGTAATGAAGAGAGAGAAAGTAATGAAATAATAAATGATCTTTAGTCTTTTTTAAAAAAGTGTAATGAGAGTCAAATAAGTTTCTTTAATACAGTATAACTCAAATAAGTCTAAATTTTTGTACCAGCTTCCAAATTATCCAAAAAAAAAAGAAAAATGGCACCCAAATAATAAGTATAGTCTTTAACTGTAATTTAAATTAATCCAAAAATTTTGGTTTAAAGGGCCCAATCTAATAAAAATTCTTACAATGCCTAGACTAAAACAAAGGCCCAATTCACATCTCTCTCTCACTTTTTTCCAATGGTTAAAATTTAAAAGACTTGAAAGTTCTAAAAAAGGCAAAAATTAATTTTTCACAATTAAAGCCTAAAAGCGTACTCTCTCTCTCTCTCTCTTCCCACAAGTAAAAAAAGTTCATATTGCATAATTATGTATCTCTCTCTTGCAACCTAGATTAAATTGAAATTGTACATATTTGTTTGATTGTAATTTAATTTTTAATATTTTTATTGATAGGATTAATTTAATACTATTGTTCTTTTTTTTTTTTGTGAAAGTTTGAAATAGTAGATGATTTGGGAGGCGAACAAATTGTCAATTTAAAACTTATACAATTTTTATTTATCAGGTGATATTGTGTTTAATTCTTATTAACGTTTATAAGATATTAGATTGTTTTCCTAGTGTAATTATTTGTTAGTTTAAAATATATTTTATTCACAAGAATTTTTAGTTTGAAATATGATAAGTTTTTTCAAAATTAAAACTCATAAAATTCTACTCACGATCAACTATAGCACAAGAAAGATTGAATGAATTAGTCATGTTATCCATTGAAAAAATATACAAGCAAAACTCAAAAATAAAAATTTGCTTACTAATTTTGCATCACAAAAAATGAAAAAAATTAATTTTAAATAAAATTTTAATCATACAATATAATTTTTTTTTGATAAAATTTGATATGCCCCTACAATTTTCTTTGGGCCGCCCTGACTTCTCATAGGTGGCCTCTCTTTTAATTATTGAGGTTTTGATTACATTAAATGAAAAGAAATCAATATAAAAAAATTGATATTTATCATATCTTCTCTCTCATCTTACCTCTTCAATTTTCTGCCATCTCTTAATCATTAGAATGAGTTTTGGGACACCCACTCTCCCATGTTTGCGGATAACATCTATCATTATTTATCTGATTTTGACCTCTTGATACCTCACTCCTCCACGGCACTAGAACAAGCTACACTCTCTCAAGACTGAGATAAGTGGGATAAAACTTTCGCGCACCCCTAATGCTAGGATAAGTTTATGGTACTATTTCAATTTTTTTTTTGGCACGAGGTGTTATCCAAGTGCTATATAACATATAACTATATAAGGCCCGGCGATAGATAAATTGTAACACGTATAATTTTATTTTTTTTAATAATACTTATAGGTGGTTCAATAGTTGAATTTGATATTTAGTAACACAGAAATCTTAAGTTCAATCTCTTTTCGTACCGCTGAAGAGTTATCGATCCTTGTCCTTAAAGTGACAGGCTTTAATCCAACTCAAATTACAGTGATAAGCCATTAAGCTCGAAAGAATAGTCGGTGTAAACTTATACACTCTATAACGAAAAAGATGTATATGATTTTTTATTAATTATGTGTACAATACGACACTGTTGACAATCATGATACATGGTTAGCAGCCAATATTTTCTCCAGCAATAGCAGCCAATATTTTCTCCGGCAATAGACGAGGCTTACCTGGTCGTCTAGGAATTACTATTAATTCTAATTAGGTAATTAATATCAAGAATATAAATTTTATGTGTTTTCAGTTTAAGTTTATAGGACTTTAATGATAAAAATTGAGTTTTTTCCATCTTTATATTGGTCATACTTTGTTGACCTCTAATTCAAAGTGCAAGTGTGTTAAGAATACAGTTGTATCTACCAGCTTCATGTACATGTTCATGTTTAATACTTTATTTTTTGTGTTCACAATCGATGTTTGATTTTTCGTAATTGTACAGTGCTGTCAAGGATGGGTTGTCGCTAGGATATAGACATGCAGCGTAGTATTGGGAAGAAAGAGAAGAAATCAGGCCTCCCGCCAAATTTGACCAACTACTGCATATTTAATTCAATATACAGACATGCAACCAACTACTGTAAGATGTCAATATATAGACATGCAACTAAGTACTGCAAGATGTCAATCAGCCCATAAAGGAGAAGGAGAAGGAGGAGGAGGGAGAGAGAGAGAGAGAGAGGGGGGGGGGGGGGGGGGGGAGAGAAGTAACGATGTCGGGATCATTTCCAATGAACGGTGGAAATGGCATCTACAGCTACACCAAGAACTCCGAATTTCAGGTACTTCAATTTGTTGTTGATGAATTCTTTATCTATCCTCATAAAAGAACACCTATGTTTTAGGTGTTGTTTGGGTCCAGTCTTTTTATGTAAAAATGAATAAAACATACAATATATCCATGGATGTATATTACTAATTTTCTTATTTTTGTTTTCTTGGGTCCTACATCTAAAACTAAACTAATGCCAGAAACAATGCTTATCAATGAACCGAATTCAAATTGGAGCTTCGTATGGAATATAATTTGAAAAAGTAGATTGAAATATCTACCGATTTTTATTTTCGTCGTCCATATAATAATTTGTCAAAAAATTATATATTCTGATCCGATCAAAATAGTTCAATTGGAGTTGATTTTTACCCAAATTTTTACATTATTTTCTAATAAATTTCATAAACTAATTAATCAACCTCCGTATATATTTTTATATATTTCATATATATCATATCACAATCAGATTAATTATTGGTATATTCAAATTCAAAGTCATGATATGAATTATATATAAAGTGTTCAGATGCACATATAAATAATTTGTAAAAAGATTCATACTAGATTAATCAGATTTATGTTCAAATTCATTTTAAACTCCAAACCATAATTGACATGACTACTCAAAACTTTATATATATCTTCTACTATCGATTTTTGCTATGTTGCATTATGTTGTTTGTTTGGCATAGTTTAAGCTGATCATTGAATTTCTATTTTATGTTATGTGAAATGATTATTAGTTTACTTTACTTTACTTTCAACTAGGGTGGACTTATATAAGAAAACTAGTCAGTACCCGTGTCTGAAGACACTATATAACAAACAAAAAATTCTTACACAATTATCCCAATTCAAAAAGAATGGTCTAAAAATATTCATATCAATTCTTCTTTTAAAATAACTCAATATATGTCGTCGATCATATCCTCCATATTAATAAAACTGTCGTAAAAATATTTAGAACTCTTTGAAACAACACCATGTATACAAATGCCTCCGGAAAAAAAAAACAAATACTAACATAATGCATTGAAATTTACAATCTTTAAGTAATAAATAAAATTTTGCTCATTTATAAGATTCGTGAATTTATCACCTTTACCACCACTAAATCCAATAACATAATATAATTATAAACTCAATCATCATATTTTCAATCCCACTCTATCCCCATGTAATAAATATCTCAAGCAAAAAAAAAAAATACAAACATAACGCAATTAAATTCGTAATTTTTAAGCGACAAATAAAATCAACCAAATTTTACTCAATTATAAAACTCATGAATTTATCACTAATATCACCATTCAACCCCAAATGGCACAATAATTACCAAATTTTCGATTCTCCACATATAAATATACACAGAAACGTACTCTCACACATTTATTTTTTGGCTACCAACAAACCTACCTAACCAATAACTGTTTTTATTTAAAATATAATAATTCAAGTGTTCATGACTAAATAATAATAAATTAATATCTAATTAAAAAATATGGTAAAAAATACGAATTTCCCCAGAGTTTTGATAATATTATGCGGACACCCCTTGATATTTTATAAATAACACGAAAATCCTTGAATTTTAAAATTTATTATACAGCGACCCCTTTTGTCTCCCTTCCTTCAATATTACTAACGGAAAGTGATGATTTTATTCCCTTACAAAAATTATTATTTTTATAATTGCCTTTCTCCAATTTTAGTACCCAAAAAAATTAAAAATTTAATAAAATAAAATAAAATAAAATTTGATTTAGTACCCAAAAAATTGATATAATTTAGTACCCCACAAAATTGATTAAATGAATTTTAATATTAATTTGATAAAAATAAAAATTAATTTGATATTAATTCGACAAAGTTGAATATAACTTAGACAAAATTAAATGTCAATTTTTGATAAAAATATATATTAATTTACAATTTGAGGTTCATTTCGTGTTAAATATTATTTGTTGTTGATTAAACCAACATGAAATTGACCTTAAATTATAATTTTGTTTGTTGTATATAAACTTAAAATTTTGTATTTTAACCCGTAAAATGTAAAAACAATTTTTTTCATAGCATAACATATTCTCTCTTATTATATCATTTGATAAATTTTTTTTTGGTCAAGATTCGACCACACATACTTAAACCAAACCAATTGTTCACCCCCACTTTTTTTTTTAAGAGAATTGCTCACCTCCACTTGTTAAACTCAAAAATCTTTGGTTTGCATGAAAATAAGTGAAAGTAAATTAAAAAGTTCACAAAAAAATTTGAAAAATTGATAGTTTGAAAAAATTTAAAAATTTTAGTACCAAAATTATATAACAAATAGAGCAAACATTAAAAAAATAAAAAAATTATCTATATAAAAACCATTATCAATGAGAATTTTAGTGGAATTTAGGCTCTAAATCAATTAAGACCTAATTTCAGGCAAATATGTGAAACTCAGATAAAAAAGTCCTCAAATCGTGAAAAATGTGTGCTATTTTTTATTTACATTAAGTGTTATTTACAAATTAAGAAACAAGTGACAAAATATATTTTGTTAGATATATAAAACTTTGAAGTAATTTTATGGAATAAATAATTACATAACATGTAATTTCATATGTTTTATGGAGTAATAATAAAAAAATAAAACTTGAAAAATAAAAAAAATAAGATAATAATATGAGAGAGAGAGAGAGAGAGAGAGAGTATATAATACATATAAAGAGAGTTAGATGAGCAATAGGAGTCTTAGAAAAATTTGGCATGAGAACCTTTAGATCAATAATCATCAAGTGATTTGATTCGCGAAAATTTAAAAATAAAGAAATCTAGCTACTTTATTATATAGATTTTCTTTCACCACCATTTAAATTTTCTACTTTCTCCCCCTTAAATAGTGTACATATATCTTGAATTTCTTTAAATGGTAGTGGTGTAAATGTGCGCCTGTTAAAATTGACTTGACAATTGTATCAAAAAAAAAAAATTGATATCCTACCACTTACCATTTTTTTTAGTAATTATACTACATTTTGGGTGGAGTTTCTGATTTTGTGATGGTAGAACCTTTTTTTTTGAGTTTTTTTTTTTAATTTTTTTGTTCATGGAAGTTGTCCTTATTTCGCACTTTTCATCTTACTTTATCACAAGACATTTAAAAGGAAAATACTTCATGAATATAATGACAATGATGATAGCAATGACATCTATATATTTTTTGGTTTATTGCAGAGAGAAGCTTTAAACACAATAAAAGAAATGATCGACATGGCAATTGCTGAGAAGCTTGACGTAAAACACTTGACTTCTACTTCAAGATCAATTCATCTTGCAGACTTGGGATGTTCAGTTGGACCAAATACTTTCATTGCCATGCAAAATGTAATAGCAGCTGCGGAAAAGAAATACTATGCTAAAAGTCTATCTTCCGAAAAGCTTGAATTTCAAGTGTTTTTCAATGATCATATTTCCAATGATTTCAATACCCTCTTTGCCGCCCTCCCTGTTGATTGACAATATTTTGGCGTTGGAGTTCCGGGTTCTTTCCATGACCGGTTATTTCCCTCGTTGTCTCTCCATTTTGTGCACTCATCTTATGCACTGCAGTGGCTCTCTAAGGTGCCAGAGAAGTTGCTAGATAAAAACTCTCCAACTTGGAATAAGGGAAAGATTCACTACACTGGTGCTTCAGGTGAAGTAATGAAAGCTTATGCAGCGCAATTTGAAAGTGACATGGAGAATTTTCTGGAGGCTAGAGCTAAGGAAGTTGTTGTTGGTGGAGTGATGGTACTTGCCATCCAAAGTCTCCCAGATGATGTTGATCAATCTAAGACCCCATCTGGTGTGATGTTTAAATTTGTTGAAGCTGGCCTTATGGATATGGTGAATGCGGTGAGTCAATGATCAACAAGCCATCTTGGCGCCATAAAATTCAAATATTAACTAGTTCGGACCACTTAAACATAGAAGAAAAAGATGATCCAATGTACAAGGCTATGCTATTACGAGATCTTGAGAGGGAAAGATGTAAAACATAGAAAATTAAAATTAGTATCAGTTAAACATAACAAACTAAAACTATGTTTATGGTAAGAAGTTAGCCTTGTCTTAAAATTATTCAAGAGAATCTAACCTCCCATGCAGGCCTTATTTTAGACACAGTACATGAAAATCTTTTAATAATTAGAGTGGTGACACGATTTGAACACATGATCTCCTACTTTGATACCTTGTTAAACAATCATCTACTCCAAAAGCTTAAACTATTAAAGAGGGTGTAACTTAAGTATTTATACTTCAACAAGGAAGGTGGTTGACAGATTTGCACCCTGAATTACTTCTTTGATTATTCTAATTATGGATAAACATGTGTTGTATTGACAAATTTCATTACAGGGAATTATTGGTGAACTTCAAGTCGACATGTTCAACTTGTCTATTTATTTTGTCTTTGCCAAACAGATGACTAGGCTGATTGAAAGTAATGGGAGTATTAGCATCGAGAAAATGGAGTTGACAGACTCTGGTTTGAAGGATGCCCCAATCAATGCCCAAGCTGTGATAATGCAAATAAGAGCTGGCATGGAAGAAGTTATTCCGAAACACTTTGGACGTGACATTGTCGATGAACTAGTTGAAAGCATATCTAAGAAATTCATGGAGGATATCCACCTATTGGAGTCATGCAACAAGAAAGCACAACTATTTATTGTTTTGAAGCGAATATGATGTGAGTTTACTATTTTACTGTTCATTAGATATGGTACTTGCTCATGATGAACAAAATATATAACAATATATCGCAGAAATCGCCTAGATCAGTAAGATTTTATTGATCTGTTTGACGATGAATAAAAGAATAAAACTTTGGACCTTTTAGGTTCAATACTTACAAGCTAGCTTTGAGGGTTAATTATACTTTGTGTCCTCAAACTATGAAGCGTGTGTCACTTTGTCTTCTCAATTATCACGTTGGTTATTATTTTCACATTGCCCCAATGATTAATGTTCACTAGAAATTTAATGAAAAATTATTTTATTTGGTCTCTTGACCTAGGTGATGTTGTTTCACTTTTTCTTGAATACGTTTACATTTTTTTGACTAAAATATAATAGCCATTTGCATTTTGGAAGATGTGAAATCAATTCAAGTAATTGAGAGAGCAATGTATGAAATTGAATAACTCAATGGGCAAAGTGAGATGAAGACCATCATTTTGGGGACAAAATATAATTAATCGTAGTAGTAATTTCAAAACCAAAGTAGAATTATCGTCTTATTCGAAGGCCATAACAACAATGAGTAGCGCTATGTATCTATTGCAGCTCTAAAAAAATTAAAATAAAACTATCACAATATAGTTGACCAGCTACTGACATTGCATTGGCCTAACTTTATTACTATCCTCTTAATTATTAGTCCCTCAATTACTAGAATTATTTATATTGTCTCAAAATTATCATGTTTCAACAAAATCTTGCCTTAATAAGTGGAATCTCAAAAAGTCTTTGTGGCGACAACAATCCATCTCAAATACTATTTGCGATAGCAAATAAATTTTTTATGATAGCATTATCGCCACTGTTTTTTTTTTCTTCCCAAAACACTTTTTTTTCTTTTGTGACAGTGAACACTACCACTGCAAAAAATTTATCTCAAAAGATCCTAATTCTTGTAATGACATATATTTGGGGCCCAAAAAATATTTAGGGCCTTTAATTTTAAGACAATTTTAGGTACAAAGTGTAAACTCAATAAAAAAATCAATACTAAAATAACGAGTTTGGATTTAACCTTAGTATATATGGGTGATAAACAAATGAATTTGATAGAGCTCTCAAATAAACGAATTTACGTAAATCTGATTAAATACGAAATAAATATGTTAAACACGACTTACATATAGTACAAATTCGACTATACAATATTATAAATGAAAAGAGTATAAATTGAGTCAATTTTAATACAAAACAATTGAATGAATGTTTTTTATTACCTTTGTTTTTTTAGTCTTACCTATTTTTTACATAAATTCTAAAAAGATAAGTTATCTCAATACACAATATATTACGTTAAGTGAGATTTTGTAACGTCCCGTCTTCTTGAAAATTCCAAACAACTTTAGGATGAGTTATTTATTTTAAGACCCCTTGAAGAAATATTCTAGAGAATCTAAAAAGGGTTTCTAAATTAAACTTTCTTCAAGGAACATTCTAGAATATACAAGAATATTTACATAGAAGGTTTAGAGACACTGTAAATGTTTAACATTTGACAATATTATAGTCATTCATGATAAGACGAAAGGCCTATAAATAGGTGGGAATTTTCTCATTTGCAAGAACCAACAAACGAGCAATCAAGTTATAGCATAAATTCGAGACTGTTTTCATCTATGTCAGAGTTTTTACTTAATTATTTTTTTTCTCCAAAACACGTTTTTTTTGGTGATGATAGACACTGCCATCACAGAAAAACTTATCTCAAAAGACTCTAATTCTTATAGTGTGTATTAAACTTGTTTGTGCTTCATAGATTTTCATTGAATGCATCTCCTTTCCTTCATACCATTGGTTTTGGTGATGAAAGACACTGCCATCACAAAAAAAAACTTAACTCGAAAGACTCTAATTCTTATAGTGTGTATTAAACTTGTTTGTGCGTCATAGATTTTCATTGAATGCATCTCTTTTCCTTCATACCACTTGTTCAAAAGTATGAGGATGTTATATGCAGTGTCAATATATGTTTAGGCACTCCAATTCGTTCTAAGAGTTTTTGAAGGAATATTTGAAAAAGAAAAAAAGATATTTGACAATCTACTTGAAACTTATGTCCACTTGAACACCGCAACGTATATTTGAAGCAATTCTTTTATGAAAAGTATTAACACCAAAAGGTTGGTCTACAGTTATAAGGACACAATGGCCTCCAATTGATCTAGGTACCCAAAAATGAACTAAAACTAGCCTTTTGAGTTTTAAGCCATGAGAAATAATTTAATATCGTCTTTTGTCCCCAATGGTTGGTAAGAGTTTTAAGGGCTCAAAGGGTTTGAAACTACGTCTTTTATAAAAAAATATTAAGGTTGGTGTAAAGCTGTAAGGACACAATGGCCTCCAACTGATCTGGGCACCCAAAATTGAATTAAAACTTCCCTAAATGCTTCTAACCTTTATCTTCGATTTGACAGTTCAAGATTCCTTCTTTTGGGTTCCTCTGTAGTTCTCAGGTTTGATGCATCCAAACATATATTACGGTGTTCATGTGGATATAAGTTGCAAGTGGACTGCAAATGTCAAATCTTTTTGTATTTTCAAATATATCTTCAGACACTGCAAATAATATTATCTTAATTTTAAACCAGATGTTTAAAGGTATAAAAGACACATTCAAAGAAATCTCTATTGCATTAGAGAAGGTGTGTAAATCAATCCAATTATCTTTTGCTTAGACATGGGTCCCGTGCTCCCATTCAAAGTGTTGGGTTTGTGGTAGGGTGAAAGAACTACACTTCGGAGGCTACTGTTTTGGGCACACGATGTTGACAAGTACTGAGACACCATTCTTTACCGTAATCTAAATTCCGCCTCAGAAATGAACTGCATCACATACAAAAGAGCAAGTGAGTTGTTGGTAGAGTATTTTCAACCCACAATGCATGCTTCTGCATTGATATAACTAAGTTGAGCATAATTAAGTATATCTGGCGACCCCTTAGCACACCATGCACATGGCGTTGGGTTAACTAGCTCTTTTGCAATTTTCCTGCGAAGGTCCTGCACTGGAAATATTGTTTACTTACTAGAGTTCTTTTTGCCCTTGTAAAGATAGACGAATCTTTCCGGACTCATTGTTGGGTAGAATGAAGTAGCATTTTCAAAATTTCAACATTTCCAAAATTGTTTTAGGAGTTAAAAACTCCAACCTTTTTAGGAGTTAGAATCTCCATTGTAGAGAAGAAGAATATATCTTGATTTCGCCCCTTTTTAGTGGTTTTTGAAAGGCCAAAGAAGCATTATCATATTTGCTAAACCAAAACCTCTTTTTAGTGAAGATGTAGTAATTGTAGTTTAGTTAAGCTTAATTAAGAACAAGAGAAAGAGAGCATATAAAGAACAAAAGAAAATGGGAGAAGGTTATATTTTTATTAAAGAATGATTTGCTTAAATACATGAGTATGTAACTGAAAACCAGAAATAAAAGCAACAAACTTCGTAAACTTTAGCTACTAACATTAACAGCTAGTAGATAATAGAAAATCAAAACAAATCTCCTAAAGACTTGGTCTAAGAGTATATAATGCACTGAATATCAATTGCAGTCCTTAAAACTGATTAAAGACACCTAACATTCAAATCTGAGCTTGCAGCCTCAGTTTCACATGTGCAGCCACCTCTGCTAGCCATGTCAGCAACCATGTCAGCAACCCTACAGCTAATGATGCACACATCCAACACTCCTCCTTGAATCAGTGGGCGGAGATTCCACGCTTCTCTCTTAGAAACTCAAACCTGCTTCTAGGAAGAGCTTTAGTGAAGACATCTGCCAGCTAGTTTTCAGTCTTGCAATACTTCAAACACACTGCACCATCTTTTTGAACATCTCTGAGAAAGAACAACTTTATCCTGAAATGCTTTATTTTTCCATGAAAAACTGGATTGTTGGAGATGGCTATGGCTGCTTGGTTGTCCACCATCACCTCTGTACTCATCCCTTGCTCCAACTCTAAATCAATTAGAACTTTTCTTAGCCATAAGACTTGATGAACAGCAGCTGTGGCTGCTATAAACTTTGCTTCAGCTGTTGATTGTATAACAATTTCTTGTTTTTTTTAACACCTAGAGAACACACCTGATCCAAAGCTAAAACAATAGCCTAATGTACTTTTCATGTCATCTAAAGATCCTACCCAATCACTATCAGAGTAACCCTGCAACTTGAAACTCTGACATGTACTGAACTTTATACTATAACTTAAGGTCCCCTTAACATACCATAGAACTCTTTTTACTGCTTTAAAATGACTTTCACTTGCACAATTCATGAACCTTGATAGTACACTTACAACATGCAAGATATCTGGTCTTGTTGATGTGAGATACATTAAGCAGCCAATTAAACTTCTATAGAGAGTTTAATCTGCTTGTTCACCTCCATCATCCTCGCACAACTTCTCCTTTTGACACATTGGAGTACTCATGCTTTTACAATTCTCCATGTTAAATTTCTTTAGGATCTCCTTTGCATACTTCCCTTGACAGATGAAAATTTTATCCTCTTCCTGTTTAATCTCCATTCCAAGGAAGTAAGACATTTCTCCCATGTCAGTCATCTCAAAGACTTGCATCATGTCTTCTTTGAACAGCTAGATAAGTTCAGCATTGTTACCTGTAACTAGAAGATCATCAACATACAAGGAGATCACAATTAAGTTAGCTTGATCACCTTTGACATATAATGTTGATTCACTAAGGCTTTCAACAAAGCCTAAGTCCAACAAATGCTCATCAATTCTGTTGTACCAAGCCCTTGGTGCCTGTTTTAAACTATACAAAACCTTCTTTAATAGATAAACCTTGTTCTCATGCCCTTCCACAGCAAAACCTTCAGGTTGCTTAACATAGATTTCTTTCTCTAGAAATCCATTTAGAAATGCTAATTTTACATCAAGTTGGTAGGTTTTTCATCTTTTTTGTGCTGCAATGGCTTACAGTAGCTTGATTGTATCTAGCCTTGCAACAGGGGCAAATTTATCAAAAAAATCCACTCCAAAAACTTGAGCATACCCTTTTACCACTAACCTCACTTTGTGCTTGTTAATTGAGCCATCTGCGTTTAGCTTTGTTCTAAACCTCCACTTGACTCCAATCACCTTTCTGTGTAAGCTCCTCCTGCATTGCATCCCTCCATTTGAGATCCTTTTCAGCTTCCCAATACCCTGCAGGTTCAAGAATTGCAACGTTGCATCTCTGATAAACATCAGAGAGCAATCTA